GTGAGTTAGGATAGGGGCTGAGGTGAAGGCTAATTTAAGTCCCTCAAAGGTAGCCTGGGCCTCTGGCGTCTAGATGGTGCCACTCCTTTCTTGAGAATGGCAGTGATTAGGGCCACCTGTTTAGAGAACCCCATGATAAATCTGCTATAAAAGTTGGCAAAGCCAGGCAACCACTGAACCCCATGGATATCCCTTGGGGGTTGCCAGTCTAGGATGGCAGAAGCCTTCCTCAGATCCATGGATAGCCCCTCTGGTATAATTACATACTCTAGAAACTCAACAGTTATTTTTATCAAATTTACACTTTTCTAATTTGGCATATAGACTGTGGCTCCTTAGTTGCTCCAGTGTCACTCAAACATGGCATTCATGAAGGTTTGGGCTCCCAGAGGATTTTAAAATGTAATATGCATCCAGGTAAATTACCACAAACAGGTTCAGGATGTCTTTGAAAACATAATTCAAGAAATGCTGAAATGTTGCAGGGGTGTTAGAAAACCCAAAGGGCATTACAAGGTACTTGAAATGAACATATCATGACCAAAAGGTGGTCTTCTGTTAATCATCTTCATAGAAGTGGATGAGGTGTAGGGTTCCAGTAGGTCTAGTTTATTAAATATCTTGGCAAAGTGGAGCCTGTCTAACAACTTTTGAATCAACCAGAGTGGGTATCGGTTCCACACAGTAATCTTGTCCAGTGCTCTATAGTCCAGTGCTCTGGAGAGGTGCTTTTCTTGGTCACAAAGAAGATGTAAGCCCTGGTTGGTGATGTGGAGGGCCAAATAAACCCTTTTTGCAGATTCTTTCTGATGTATTATTTTAGAGTCTTGAGTTCAGGCTCAGTGAGGGAGTAAATTTGCCTGAACAGAATCTGTTCCCTCGGTAAAATGTCAGTGGGGCAACTGTAGGGACAATGTGGAGGAAGCTGGTCCGCCCCCATCTTATCAAATACATTGACCACATCTCAATACTTTGCAGGGATAGCTGAGCCACTGGCTGGCAAACTGGCAGTCTCTGGGAGTGCGGGCTTCATTTTCTCTGCAGATGGTGTCAGCTGCTCTACTGCACTGGCTCCCTGCATGATCTGGGCTGTGACCTGGGGTTTCCCCTGGAAACGCATCCGGTTGCAGTAAATGGAACTAAATCAGAGTTCCCTCTGCCCCAACAGAATACTGGGGCTGTGGAGGAAAAGCCAGGGGTTTCCCAAATAATCAAAAAGTGGTGAGAATGAATTAGGTAAAAGCAGAGAAACATCTGGTGGCCTCTGATCCACACTTCCAGGGGAGCTGATTCCTTAGTGACAGGTCCCAAGGAGAATGTGGACTCATCTGGGGTGGCTCCAGTACTGACTCCATCTGGGGTGTGTTTTAGACCTGGAATCTGGTGCTGGGAGGCAAATGTCAAGTCAATAAAGTTCCCAAAGGATTTTTGGAAACTGTATTCAAGTGTATCCAGAAGGGCTGGCTGGGAGATGTCATCTGTAGCTGGGCGATACAAACAAAGGAAGACCTATAAGGGTATGTCTGGTCTCCTCTCGGTGGCAGAGGTTCTTGCACAAGATGGAGGGGCAAGGGAGGGAATGTACCACCCTACTGAGGCTGGGCTGATTGGTTTCCCAGCAGTGAAATTCAAGTTCCCTTTCAGGGACTAGTTGGGCAAAATGCCCTACTCCTCCACAGTAGAGGCAGAGACCTCTTGAGCACTAGTACATCCTTTCTTCAGGGGAGTCTCTGCCTGGTTACCTTAACCTGTATAGACTCTACGGTTGGCAATATAAGTTTTCTGGTTCCCTGGGCAGTCCAGTAGACTCTTGCTGGCCTTTGGCCAGGCAACCATGGATACAGGCATACAGAGGTCATTGAGGTAATCCAGGGTTGCTGGAGGTTGTCCAGGGTCATTGGGCCACTCATCTTTGATAGTCCCCCTGTGGCCCTGGAGAAAGTGGAAATGCTGTGCGGCCATGTTTCACTCTGTCTCTCTGGCCAGGTGTCTAAATTTTGTGGCATAGTTGGACACAGGGTAGTGGCCCTGTTTCAGGGTCTGGGTCTGGAGGGCCCATTCATGCACCTGATTTATGTCCTTAAAGATCTTGGCCGTTGCCCTAATAAAGGCATCAAGTTGATTGAGGAGAGAATTTGAGGCCTCCAAAAGTGGGGTGGCTCAGGCCAGGGCTCTCCAGTCAGGAGATGGATTCTCAGCACCACTCTGGCTGTCTGAGGTTTATGATCGGGGATGCAGCTTGCAGGCCAGGCGGCACTAATTTTTAAATCTCCAAAATTTACAGGGGTTACCTTCAAATTTTTCTGGTAGTGGAATCTTGGGTTTGGACTTGGCAGGAGCAGCAGGCTTAACAGCTGGCGCTGGAAGGGGAATTTCTGAGCCTACAGTGATCTGAGTCTGTAAATTCTGCAGCATGGCCACCAGTGAAGGCACACAAATCTGACCTAATGACCAGTTCATTCTTCAGTGACCCTACCAAATGATTGGGTAGCTGAACAAGCTGTCCTGGTCCAGTAGACCAAGTGCCCTAGTTTATAGCGCCAGTTGGGGAGTTGGAGGTTCCAGGGATAAGTCAGAAGCCACAAGTCAGGAGCCAAAATGCCAAACCAGGGTCAGGAGCCAGGAATCATAAACCCACTTACCAAGTCTTAAGGATAATCCACAGGGTGAAGTTCAAAAGTAAGCCAAACCAGGGTCAGGAGTCAGGAAGCAGGTCGTCAAGGAGAATCCAAAGGCTGAAATCCAGGAGCAAGCTGAAGGAACTAGGGGAGCCGGAGATGCTGCTGGGACAGGAGTTGCTCAGAAACTGAATACCAGTGTGTTGTGCAACAATGTTCAGGAAGCATTTCTTAGGGAGGGAAGGGGCCGGTGGTCAGCTGGCCTTGATTACTAGTAACTAGGTCAGTGCACTTAACCAGGGCTACAGGGCAGGAGCCTGCCTCAGCCTTACAGAGCTGACTCAGGCTGCAGCACAGGAGCCTTACATTCTTTATGCCACTTCAGTCCTTGTACACAGCACTCTATTTTGCTGCACTGAGTAAAATAAATGTAGCAGTCCGCACTGGGATGCTGGAGGACCTGGCCAAACAGTCACCCTATGTGTAATGTGCCATATGTTTAAATTACAGCTCAATACAGATGAACTGAAAAGATATTCTACATAGACAATGACAGACATGGGAGCGGAAAAGGCGCTTTACCGGAAGAAGCAGAGCATTAGTTTGACCCAGCTCTGTCTGTCTATACTGGGCACTTCAGCTGGGGGTTTTGGTGCTTTTATCTAAAAGCTAATTCAGTCAGCTATTAGATAAAAATGCCAAAAAAGCCTCACTAAAGCGCCCAATCTGTACAGATGTTGGACGAGCCAGGTCAGACTAATGCGATGTCTCTTCTGGGCATGCACTAGGTTCTATGTGGGGGCACACAAAGTTCAAAGTAAGGCACCGTTTGGGGTGGGGGGTGGGGAGGGCTTGCATCTGTAAGCAGCCCATATTACAAATAACATCTTTGTGGCTGGATTGCCATCTTTGAGGCTCATCAGATGATAAATTAATTGAAAGTTTAGCATATTATGGTTAATCATATGATTAACATAATCACTAGATCACTGGCTTTCAACCTTTTTTCATTTGCAGACCCCTAAAATATTTTACATGGAGGTGCGTACCCCTCTGAATTGTAAGTGTGGGCATTCACATACTTTTGATTGATCGTAGTCATCTTTTGAGGACTCCTTAGACATAGTCTGTGGACCCTCAGGGTTCCACGGACCACAGGTTGAAAGCCATTACACTAGATAAATGTAACAGCTACCAGGGGCTGTAGTGTATTTGAAAACTGTGAGAACGACACTGGTGATGCATTTTCCCTGTGTATTTTGAAATGAACATAATGAACAAAATCTATGCACTTTTTTGGATAGAACCAATAGGATCATCAATCTCTTGTCCAGAAATGATAACCTCCATATTGATGTATTCTGTAAAGGGGAAAAAAGGCATTGAAGTGCCTACATAGTACCAAAAACATTTCCTTTGGTTTTACCTCTTTGCACTTTTTTGAAAAATGTAGTTTTTTAACATGATATAAAATTGATTTTGCACAGTTTGAAGCTGTAAGTCAAGTGAATTACAGAACTGAATTACCACCAGGGCAAAAATAAATTTCTGATTGATTGGGTTTTTATTTCAAGGAAGTATCTTCGTATCCCACTGAAATCAATAAGTTACTCATAGCTAAGTTAAGCATGAGCCTAAATGCCTCTCCTAAAAAGAGATGAGTGGTAGCTCATGCTTATATTCTCTCCTGAACTGGGAGACAAGTTTGCATGGAATATTAAGTCCTAGAATCTTTTTCTTCCTTTCGTTGATTATAATCAATACAAGAAACATGCTGAATTGCCACCTGTACAATTAACATTGTATTTTAGTGATGTAACATAACCTTATATGTATGTATTCATGTACACATTACAATTATCGAATTAACTAATTCATTCTGAGATTGAACTGACCTGCATAAGCATATATTTCACTCTTTATGAAAAAGTTGTAAAAAAGCATCACTGAATGCAAATGTACTAAGCAAAAAATTCAGCTATTTCAAAGTGAATTCACTCCAACATTGTTTTCAGCATAATGATGAATCTAGAAGCCAGGGGTCATAGAAGCCAGCTTGAGTTGGTAAATGCTATCAAATATTGTAATGTAAGTTTTTATTTGGGTTGAGATTTTCAAAGGAACTCTATGGAATTAAGTGGAGGGTTTCCACTGAAAGTCCACTCGAGTTGAAGACTCACGTGGCCTCTATGAAAACTCTCTTAATACTCTATGAAAATCCCAACTTGAATTCTAAATATTTGTACTATACTGGAGAGCCCAGGGCTAAGACAAAACTGAAAATAAACATAATAGCTATATTTCCAGCAGTGGTTGCTCACTTTCAAAATGTAAGTAACGTTTACAGCCTGATTTATTTTTTTTTTTTTTTTTTCCCCACAGGACTGCAGCATTCCAGAGCTAGAGCTTTGCCCACATGCTGGCGCAAAGGGGCTTCCTATCTGCGTACAGAGTGCCATTGCCAATTTAGAAGAACTGGATGCTGAGAGCACCTTTTATATAGCTGTCAAATCAGGAGTGTGAGTACTGCAGTTCTTCAATATGATGCTGCTGAAATGATAGTCCATAAAAGTTTGTTCTTAAGGAATAACATTTTAATTTTTTCTTATAAGTAAGCTAATATAACATTAACAAAAGCTCCCTTGTGTATATTTTAGCCCAGTTTTGATTCCTGGATCCTGACACTTTCAAAGACAGTTTCCCTGTTTTTACCCAGGCAACCATTGTTGTAGCCCTTTCCTTCAATTTCTTTTTAAGAAGAGGAGGAATTTACATCTTGTTTGCTGAATGGTAGCCTTCTACCCAGCTTTCTACCCTTCTGCCCAGAATTGTTAAAACAGAGCTGTTCAGCTTATTTGGTCCCACCAGCCAGAATCAGCCCACAGGGCTTCTTGTATGCTAGACAACTCACCTCTGGTGGTGGTGTGGTAGCTTGTTGGCATGACTACTCTGGCCACTGCATTGGCATGGCTCTGGAACCCAGGAGCTGGACACTACCACTGCTCTTCTCCCTCACCTTTGTCCCCTGGCATTAGTGCATTTGAATAGCGAAAGATGACCAAAGATGCCTGTGGCGGGACAAAAAGGGAAGGGGAGCAAGTGGCAGTGGCATTTGCTCTCTGGGTTCCAGCCCCGTACCAACATAGTGCCTCTGGCAGCTATCTGGGCCACAATATAACCTCTAGCAGGCTGCATGTACCCTGGGGGCCACCACTTGGACATCTCTGTGTTAAAATCTAACAGTCAATTAATTCCAGAAAACGCATATTAGATCATCCAAGCATTCCTGAAGCTCCAGCTATCACCTGATTTACTGTGTGATTAGGCAGAAAAAAAAGGCAATATGATCTCAATCCATATGCTTGATCTCAATCTATATGACCTCAGCAGTCCAGGACTTTCTGCACTGAGCAGAAGAATATGTTTGGGTAAATATATAGAACTTCCAAGTTTGTCATTTTGGGAATTACTTCCCTCTTTTCTTTTTTTTCATAATCATTGTGGAGCAGTATTAGCCATTCCATGGGTAGCATTGAAGCTATTTTCCCATCATACTCTCTATTTCCCCTAAATGTTACACACCACTTATGATTGCCAGGGAGAAATTTTCTATGGTAATGGGGAAAAAGAGTTTAAAATAAGTTTTAAAGCTAGGTGACGGGAAAGGGCAGAGCCATATTTTTTAGCTGTGTATAGTTTTCTAGAGTTTTAAGAACTTAATTTCCTACGTGGCTTAGAGGCTTCAGTTTCTTTTCTTACCAGTGGGTATGTCTACATGTTCATTAATGCACCTTTGCTACTGCACATTAAGTCTAGTACCTCTAATATGAGATACTAGATAAAGGTACAGTAGCTGCACTAATACCCAGTAGCAAAGATGAACACTTTTTTGTGACTGTGCAGTAGACTAATTCTACTGTGCATTAGTGCATTAGCATGGGTTTTGCTGTGATGCACTGATGTGCAGTAGAACAGTCCACTGTTCATTAAGGCATCTTGTGTAGACGCACCAACTGTTCACTGGATAATCCTTTTGACTTAAACCAGCCTGAAGGAAGGAGCCCCACTTTAAGGATCTTAATGTCCTGGATTTCAAACAAAATATTGTAAATGAGAATATTCTTATACAGCCTGATGTAGAGTCCAGAGGAGTCAGTAAAAATGCTTCTATCCTGCTATGAATCCAACACAAATGTTGGTGGTGTTGGTCAGAGCCATCCCTAGGGGTGTGCAGGGCCCAGGGCATATCAGCCTGTGCTGGGGGAAGGGGGTGAGGAGCAAGCGGCTGGAGCTGGTGAAGTGGGGGAGGGAGGGGCTGGTGAGCAGCCGAAGCTAGCAGTGTGTGGCAGCCGCAGCGGGGCCTATGCAGCACTGACTGTGGGGCCCCCCAAGCATGGGACCTGGTGTGATCACCCCAATTCACCCCCCACTAGGGACGGCTCTGATGTTGGTTGCCAAATCCTTTTTATCGTTACAACTAATTTGTAGGATGTGTTTATTCACAGTGTAATAGGGTGGTGTTTTAAGACGTGATGAATGTGCTAATTTTCTAGATCTATTACTTCTGGGCAGACTGAAGAAATTGTAAATTAATTCTCTGGAACTTTGTTAGAATTGATATAACCATGGTTTGTATTAATTTACATGAAGAGTTTCATGTATATTGTCCAACACCAGTGGGCACAAACAAGAAAAGAAGTTTTATTTAAATACCATTTTATGTTCTTACTATATTATCTAATTGGATTTTTCTCTTGTTACAGGTGGCTTGCTTATTCTGACTTTAATTATAAAGGAGAGGTGGTTATTTTGGAAGAAGGCCATTCAGTGCTTGAAATTTCTTCAACAAATGTAAAATCCTTACGTCCCTTAAAAATGGTGAGAAGGTTGATTCTCAGAGGATACATTTTCTTTTTAATGATTTGATTTAAAGCCCATTTTAAGTTGAAGTCCCTCTTGGATTACTTGAGTTAAAGTTTGCATGAACAAGAAATCATCCATAGACTGGATTGTGTTTATATATGGTTTAAACAGGGACTAGAAGTTCTTATCCCGTTTCCTGGATTACCTTTTGTGTGACCCCTTTGTCCCTATGGGTTCTGTGCTTACTTGCCTCTCCCAGCACTGCCCCCTCGTACCCCCTCCCCCTTCCCTTCTCCCTCCCTCCTCTTCACCGTCACTTCTTGCAAACTTTTGTATTCAAATGCCTCTCTCCATTCTATACACTGCTCTGTTCATGGTCCTTTCAGAGCATCTGATGAAGTTAGCTTCAGCTCACAAAAGCTTATGTTATATACATTTCTAATTTAGTTAGCGTATAAGGTAGAAATCTACCCTACCTTCTGCTTGACTTCAGGCTAACACAGCTACCTATATCTCACAGGCCCCCTTTACACAACTACCTGATTAATGCTCCTGGGGCTGGGAGCCCTGTTAGCTGACAAGACTCCTGGCCTCAACAGCACCCCACAGGTTAGCATGGCTGGAAGTCCCATCAGCTGAAAGAGCTTCTAGCCACAGCACCAGCCCATGGGCCTCCACAGCTAGAAGTCACATGAGTTGACAAGACTCCTAGCCACAGCAGCACCCCACTGGAGTCTTGTCAGCTGCGGGACTCATAGCCACAGGAGCTTACTACTAGTATGCTGGTGCAGGAGAGGCCTGGGATCAGCATCCTGGGCTCCTCCTGCACCAGCAATAAGGCATGGTAGGTTCTGATGCTGTGGCATTTGGTCTCTGGGTTCCTGCCATGCACATACATGTAGCATGGCACAAGCGTGTGCATCGCACATCAGATCCCATCACAACTTTATCTGAACATCTAGAGGGATCCACAGATTCTTAATATAACTTTGTGTATTAAAAGTATAATACTCTTCTTTTTCTTTTCAGTGCGGGCACCTACACGTGCACTTTACTGCGGAGTTGACTAATTAGTAGTGTACATGTGCAGATCTGTTAAGCTGGAGTAAACTAATTAATTCCATTGTAGGATAGTACTGCCCAATACAAGTACTATCCTATGGCAGAGTTATTTACTCTACCACAATGCATATGTAGATAGTGACCAGGGCTGACTGGGGCATGAAGGTGCTACAGTATGGGACTGCCTGCTGGCTATTCCCACACTGTAACACCCTTGTGCCATGGCCAGCCCCTCCACAGAACATTGAATCAGGGCAGAGCAGCTCTGGGCTGGCAGGCTGACCCCCTGGGCCCTTTGCCAGCTGGGGTTGTGCCACTTCAGCTCAATGTGCTGCAGTCTCGGGCACACACAAACACAGCACCTGGGAACAATAAACTGTGGCATGAACTGTGCCAGAGTTTATTCAGGCACACTGATTGCATGTTTAGATGCGCCCAGTGTGAACAAACCATATCACCTTTGGGAATAGAATATGCAGGAAAAGAATACATCTGACCCATTCAATAGGACATCTTATTCAAAAATGTGGATTAAGACCCTTTTTAGACCAAAGCAAACTGTTGCAAACTTATTTTGGAGGCAGTAACAAAATGTTATTAAAGCCTCTTCAGAAACTCTTTAAACTGACACAGCTAATATCTGCTAGTGGTGTTTGGTCAGAAGATGAAACCACTGCACAGTAATTTAGATTCAGAGGCAGGCTAATTTTCCTTTGGTGTGGGCTTGTGGGTATAAATATGGAAAATGATGGAGAAGGATAAAGTAGTACATAGTTTAATATATGTATGTAATAGTTATACATAGGTTGCTAGGGCTGCAAGTGTAAAGTATTTGCCTGATTTCTTTCTGTGGTTTTGAAACTCTCCCCAGTTCTCCAAAGAAGATGAAAAATTACATGACTTGTCTACTATTTCTAGTGAAGGAACAATTATTGTACAGTCTGCTCACACTTCTTCCATCCCAAGAGCATTTACACTGTACTCAATCCAAGGAATCAAGCAATCAGCCCCATTTCTCTATAATTCTAGGTCTACAATCCCAGTGATTTAAGAAACTTGCATGTCATTACAATTTAAAAAGTTAATTTAAAGAACACCTGCTGCATGATTAGTTAACGAACAGCAATAACTATTTTGGTCTACAGTGTAAACATAGAAAGTAACTATGCAAACGTTTTAAATGTTTTTTATACCCAGAGGCTGGTATAATCATGAAGCCTCGTTTTAAATGTTTTTTATACCCAGAGGCTGGGATAATCATGAAGCAGGTTTGTCTGTCTTTTTTGTAGGTGAGCACTGGTATTATGAATTATCAAAGTATCTCAAAGTCACAATTTGTTTTAACAGAAAATGGCATTGGCAAGTATAGTTACAAGGGCTGCATATTCTTTTGGGTTTATAGAACATGCACCCAGGGAAGCATAATTTAAAATATCATGTAATGCTCTTTTCTTTTTTGTTTAAACCATAGGGTGGACTAAAGGTACAATTCCCTATGAATGTTAAGGTAAGTACTGTGTGTTACTATAGTTGATCAAATCGTAAACCCATCCTGATGTAACAGACCGCCTAATCTAGCCTTCTATATTTAGCAGTGGAGAAGTACCCACTCCCTCTCCCAAAAAGAAAAGGAAGCATTCTTCATCCTCCCCACTTCTTGAGAACAAAGTCTGTGTCACTGTGAAACCCAATAGCCACAACTGCTTTGTGCGTTATAAAAGCTGAAACAGTTTTTTGTCAGCTGAAGAATTTAAAGGGACTGCAATCTGAAATGGCTTTTTCCTCACTGATGCAAGCATAACAGATATCACTGAAGGATTGGGATGTTGCAATCATTATGTGCCCTATCTCACCACATTCAAAGGAGGAGGGTATTGGAAAGGGGTGGGGAAATGGGTACTCTTTTCTTCCCCATCCCTGTCCCTATGCAAAGATCAAAATCTGACTGAAAATCAGGGCTGCTGCTGCGGGCTGGGGCCAGGGGCGGTGCCAGGCTCTTCCCAGGAGGGAGGCTGGGCCGGACTGCACTCAGGGAGGGTGGCAGCGGTGCTGGGAGGGGGGGCTATGGCAAATTTTGGCTGTAGCGCCCCTGTAGCGCCCCTCTCAGCACCCCTGCCACCAAGGGGCACATGCCCTCCCAGCGTGTGTGCAGCAGCGGGATCTGCCCCCATGCTGCACCCCAGTTAAGCAGCCCCAGTGCCAGTCCCACTCCCTCCCTCATCACGAGGACTTTGGTCTGCCTCCCCCTCCTCCTCCCATGCCCCATCCATTTCCCCCATCCCTTTCCCCTCAACAGACTTACCAGCCAGACACTGCTCTCCAGGCGGCGCTCCTGACCGCCTGCGTGGTATGCTGTGGCTGCATGTATGCACGTGGCATTTATCAGTGACATTATCGGCCACATCAGCTAAAAAAATCCTATTGCCGATAATGTCAATTTTCCTTTTATTGGTGCCGATACGATATGGACCAATATATCGGTGCACCTCTAGTTTAGAGTCCTGGGAAGCATGACTTATGAGAAATGGCTGAAAGAGCTTGGGTTATTTAATGTGGAGAAGAGATAAGAGAGGGGATTTGATAACAGTCTCCAAATACCTGGAGGACAAATATAGAGAAGATGGAGTAGGCTTTTCTCTGTGGCTGTAGGGGCCAAAATAAGAACAATGGCCTCAAGCTGCAGCAGAAGACATTTAAGTTGGAAGAATGTTCTGATTATAAAAGTGGTCAAGCACTGGAACAGGCTATCAAGAAAAACTGTGGACTCTCCATCCCTGGAAATTTTCAAGAGCAGGTTAGACAGAATCTTGGCTGGGATGGTTTAGTCAGAGATGATCTGCCTTGAGCAGGGGACTGAACTAGATGACCTAGCATAGGTATTATTGTCAGTCCAGCTTTGACAGCAGAGAGCTCAGCATTTACTCTGCCTACAATACTCAGCATCCCTGGCAGTATTACCCTAATATGACCAGAACAGTGTAGGAATATTGGTATAATTATGTTAGTAATTTTCATCATGAAGACAAGTCTTCAGACAGACTGATAACCTGGCCTGGATAAGCCCAGAATCTGCCAGAGTCAAGAGTTCACAAAGCACAAAGTTTCCCCATGGTGCTGACTGAGGAAAAACCAGTGACCTTAAACAATGTGACGCTGCAAGTTCCATGTTTATGGTCAGTAAACTGAAAGGGCTCAATCTATTCTTTCAAATCATGTTCTCCAGATAATAATATATGAAAGAAGCCACTTCAGAGGATGGGCCAAAGAGCTTTCTGAAAACATAGATTGTGTCCCTGCTCTGTTTAGAAATGAGGAGGATTTCCAGGGAATTAGATCAATACGTGTCATTGGTGGAGTGTGAGTACCTTTCATTTTAATATTTAAGCTTTTTTCTTTGTAAAAATATAACACAATTATATTCCTATGTAAGTAGTTTTGTTATTGTAAGCCACAACCTCAGACATTTGTGTCCTGGAAAGCATAAGTGTCCTGAGTCATGTCAGCTAATCTGTAGTCACTGCTCTGAGACAAAATTCCTTGTCTTCATTAGGATTTTGCACCTTCAGTGTTGGCTAGCAGGCTAAGGTGTCTATATCTGTGTCTCCATAAGGCTTGTCTACACAGAGACCCACAGGAAGGTCAGGACAAATCAACCACAGTCAACGTTCATAAGGTCCAGCTAACTAAGGCTACTTGCTCCTAAATCAAAGGATTTACATGGAGGCATAACACATTTTAGCTTTTGGGGATTGACCTCACTTTTAGTAGCTTTGCTGTAACTTCCTAAAGTGTCCCCATGTAGATCAGCCGTAATCTTCCACCTAATTTGCAAATTTGTAAAAGCTATTAACTGCCTAGATTATTCATTTGTCAGCTGTCCTTCTTAACATGAGTTAACAATTTTTTTTTACCTATGACTATGCACCAGGGATTGATTCTTCATTGTTCTGCCCCCTTTGCTGTCATTTTTGCTAGTGCAAAGTGGAGGAGTGAAGGGCAAAATATTGCCACTTAGATTTGATGGTCTCTAATTTGCATTTATATAAATGACTGTAAAACAGAGCCATAGAGAAACCAGTGATGTTTGCCTCAGAACTCTGGATACCAGCTAAACAGTCACCTCTAATATCCACTTGTTTATCTAACAGGGGTTGAAAAACACGTACTTCTAGAAAGCATATTTCTAGTAAAGCAATGAAATAATGCTGACACTAACACTGTTGTCATGGTTGGAGAGCTAATGTCTCAGTACAGTGACTGAGATACTACATGTGCTGTATGTCTGTTATTTCAGGCTATTTGTAGACTTTCTCATGCACAAAATTCATAGAAAAACTTCAATATAAATACCCAAAGATGTTTGCCAAAGATATTATGTGCCAAGTCTCTGGAAGACTTAAGATTTTTTTTAAGTGATCTTTTTTTTACCTCTGTGCTTTTCTTTTATTCCACAATAACTTAAGCAGCTGAACTAATTTAAACCAAATGTTGTTAAATAAATTCATTCTTGTCTGCCAAATTTCAATGCTAACAGGATTTGCACAGCAGTTATAAATCCTTGTAGGAAAGTTTAACAGAAGAAATGCTCACAGAAGCATAAGACATTTGCTGGTGGTATTGTTGCAGGTATGAATATATAGTGCCTATTAATGAAGCTTAACCGACAGTTTTTTAATATACATCTTTATTTTTGTCCCCCTACACGCACACACCCGCTACAAAATGGCAAACAAATGGAATACCCTCTGTTTTGCATGCAGACTTTTAATTCTATATCACTGTCTTGACTTTTGAAATCTTATCATAAGATTTTTGTGTCATTCTACACTTTTTTTTTTTTTTAAACACTGAGAATATTCAGCATTGATGCAGAAATATTTTAAATCAAAACTTACCTATTTGTTCAAAGTAGTATGATTCATTGCTTGGTAACTACAAAATTATTTTGCATAGACACTTATCCTGTGTCTCATGAGCCCCAATTGTGTTGAAATACCATAGCAGAATATGACAGGAGCACGTGTGAAGAGGGATGGGACATCTGTGACTGTTACACAAGTACACTTCTGTTAAAGAAAGCACCACATGGTGAAATGGAGTATTGATCCACAAAGAATGCTTCATTAATGTGTGGTGTAATCTTAAACAACAAGCATTATTTTGTTTGTCAGCTGAGTTTGTGACCTCCATCCTAAAAGTGTAAAGATGTTCACTTTCCACACCTGTTCTTGATGCACAGGTGCTCAACAACTTCTTTTATTTTTTTCCCATGTGTTATGCTATTGTAGATGGGTTGCCTATGAAAAGGAACGCTATAAAGGCCATCAGTATCTACTGGAGGAGGGAGATTATGAAGATAGGCACTCCTGGGGGGGAATTGGCACTGCCCTGCTGTCTTTTAGATTCCTACAAGCTGTAAGTACTATTCCTGATTTTTGTGTGTGTGTGCGTGCGCGCACGCGCGCGCGCATAGGCCAATTCAGGAGGGTGTAATCACACTGCACTTTGATTTCTGGTCCACCCAAAAATTAAAACTAACTGCCTGACAGTGGCAATAGTCATCTGTTCAGGCAACAATGGAGGAGACAGTTGACTTCATGGCTTATTATAATTTACCCAATTCCTTCTAAATTCTTCTTTCTAAATTATATTCCACTAATCAAGCTATCCTTTCTTTTGCAATTCTGCTGTCTAATAGCTGCACATCTTAATGTACCTCCTGTTTCACAGCCCTACAGACTTTTCTCTGCTAGCTGTTAAATGAGGTAAACATCAACTCAGGTGTGGACATAACTTTCAGTGAAGCATTGAATGTACCATCAAGATGCTCAAGAAGGCTATTTTTTATGAATCAGAAAGAAATGTACATTTAATTCTGACCACAGAACTAAAGCTAACATCTTTTCATTAATATTGCCTAGTTTGTTATGTTTTACACATAATTCACATTTCAATAAAGTTATATTTGTTTTTGCTTCAATTTTAAGCTGAATAATGTAGTGCGAGGTGTCCTAGGATATATATAAAGCTTCTAGTCTCTTTTTTAACTGGAGAAAATGTGTATTGTGTTAAATGTGTATATACGATAATGCACTACACCATATGCACCTCCCTTTTCAGAATCCTAGATTTGCCCATGTATATGTGTGTGTAGGGGGAAGGGTAGGCAAGAGTTGCTTCAATTTGTTAATTTAATTAATTCATTTTGATTAGACACTGTTTCAGGGTAAAAATGAAGATTATTTTTCATAAATTTCTATGAGTAGACGTCATTTTCTCTGTGCTTGGTTACTCTCTATCTGGCTCCCATGCACATACTCTTATGAAAGTTTTCTTTATGTTCCCACCTATACAGTGAAAAGTGCATTGTTTTCTGGAAAATTATAGAAGTTCTAGGATATTCTTTTCTCAAGGAAAGAATGTGCAAGACTGCAAAATCCCTTTCTTCCCTGCAGACTTCTCATTTCTGCTATTTAGACACTAAAATAAATACTAAAATTTATGTACATATGTGTGTATAATCATTTTCATTAACATAAAAATAGGAAGTCGACACAACAGCTGTTGCAGGCTTTACAATGGCATTACAATGCTTCTCAGTAGTTTTTGTGCCAGAAAACTTTGGCAGTAAAAATTATCATAGTAAGAAAAATCTTGATTTTAGATGTTTTTTTAGTAGGAGCCATGATGAGATGCTAATGAAAACCAAGCCAGTGCCTGATTTGGAAGAAATCTTGGACACTTGAATGTTTAGGGAGAAAGGGGATTAGAACATCTTTATCATTTCCTTTGCTTAAATGTTCCTTTATTTCATTTAAAAAGAAGCTTTGTACATTTTTTAAGCAGCTGCAAAGAATGGCTCCTTCTTAAAACTGAAGAGTGGTCACTGAGATTAAGAATCCTTTTGACTGTGATGCAGTGTTTTACAGGCCAGCCACATTTGTTAAAAAGATGGTTGTATTCAGTATGTGTGTTGTAGAATGTGTACTGAATCTTTTGCAGGCAATAAAAAAATTCTGTGTTTAAGAAAAATATCATCCTTTACAAAGAATGGTTTGCTGATATTTGAGAGAACCTGCATTTTAAGATAATTTCTGTATCTTTCTGTAAAGAGATCTCTGAAAACCTTCATAATACCACAGGAAAAATACTCTTCTTATATAATGAACACTGAAGTTCTAGCAATTTTTGGTTTAGAGTTAACCAAGAAGTATTTCATTGACTCTGTATAAGATAGGTAGGTATCTGTGGGTGTGTCTACACATGCATTAAGGCGCTTTTCCTAATGTGCATTAAGTTTAGTACCTCCAATGCGAGGCACTAAACAAATGTGCATGAGGCTACCTTAATGCATGGTAACAAATGTGCATGGTTTTTAAGTGATGCATAATGCTCAGTAGCCTATTTTACTGCACATTAGCATAATCACACAGGCGCCTGTACACAAGCACCAAAGCTGCTCCAACATCCTGGAATTTCAGCATGTCGGAGCAGATTCATTTAATTGAGTCTGCTGGAGAATGGCAGTTGCCATGTTCCAACAGCCTCTGGCTTCTGTGCATCAGCATCCCTGTGCTTAAAAATGGCAGGGGGGTGCTTGAACTAAAGCTTGTCGAATGAGCTTTATTAGTTCAACCACTCTGCCACCATTTTCAATCCCAGAGACACTGCTACATGAGACATGGCAGCGCTTTAATTAGAGCGCCTCTCAGAGCTGCTCTAATGAAAGCACTGCCCCCCACTCCCAGAGCACATGTAAAAGTGCCCACAGTTTTTTACATGATGCTTTAATGCACAGTAAAATAGGCTATTGCGCATTAAAGCGCATGTGTAGACTTGCCCTGGGGCACCTTAAATGATTCTGATCAGCACAAAAAAGAAAAATGTGACTTCCTGTATTTGAAGACTGATTCAGCTATAACTGTGGCAGACTTTTGTGATGTGAAAAGCTTTTAAGCGTCTTTGCAGGTTTTCACATTTGAAAATGTATCTGTCATTAGGGAACTGCTATCCTGAATGCTTTGTCATTCCTCCTTTGGGTGATTTTTTTCCTTTCTGAGAATGAAGATTTTCTTTGTGCCTGTCTTATTGCTTATATTAAGATGAAAAGTGCATGTGAAATGCTGTGTGGGCTTACACACCTGCATAGGTGTTTAAAGTTGATGTACCTGTGTTTGCAGCTAGCTTTGAAATTGCCACAAAGGGAATTCGGTTCAAACCCCCTTCCCTTCCTCCCTGCCTCTTCTCAGGCTTTTTTTTAGTCTGGTCTTGGGCACATCACCAAGGAAGCCTACTAGAAAAGAGTAAGAACCTGAAGGGACAAAATAAGGAGGGCAGAGATGAAGAATGAGCTGCACCTGGCAAGGGAAGTTAAAGACAACAAGTAGAGGTTCTATAAATATGTTGGCCACAAGAGAAGACCCAAACAAGCTGTGGACCTACTATTAACTAGCCAGGGGGAACTCTCAACACAAGAGGCCAAGAAGGTAGAGCTACTCAACAACTACTTTGCCTCAGTGTTCACAAAAATATTAAACTGCAGCCAGACACTTAACAAGGATTATTTGGATAAGGAAGGGGATAAACTGAGGGTTGAAATAACAAAAGAGATGGTCAGAGAGCTTTTAATGGGTCTGAATGAGTTCAAGTCAGCAGGGCCTGATGAACTTTATTCCAGGGTTCTGAAGGAACTGGAAGAGGAGATCTCGGAGCCCTTGTCAATGATATTCATGAAGTCGTGGGAGACGGGTGAAGTACCAAAGGAATGGAAAAGGGCCAGTGTAATACTCCTCTTTTAAAAAGGCAAAAAGGAGGACCCCGGGAATTACAGACTGGTTAGCCTCACCTCAGTACCTGGGAAGTTACTAAAGCATATCCTAAGGAAGACCATTTGCAAGCATTTAGAGGATAAACGGCTGATCATAAGCAGCCAGCATAGATTTACTAAGAACAGACTTGATATCGTTCTTTGACAAAGTAACTACTTGGATGGATGACAGGACTGCTGTCTATATAGAGTATAGGGACTTCAGCAAGGCTTTTGAGACGGTTGCATATGACCTCATAAACAAATTGAAGAAATTTGGGCTGAACAAATACACTATAGGGTGGACAGATATGTGGCTCAATAACCACAAGCAATGGATCCATGTGAGAGTGGCAGGAGGCTTTGAGTGGAGTCTTACAGGGGTCTATCCCAGTCCTGGTGCTGTTCACTATGTTTATTAATGATTTGGATGGTGGTATAGAAAGCTTCTTGAGTAAGTTTGCAGATGACACAAAACTGTAAAGGATTGTGAACGCTTTGGAGGATGGGAGCACAATTCAGAAGAATCTTGACAGATTGGAAATCTAGGCTGGAGCAAACAGGATGACAGATGCATGGTGCTGTACCTCAGAAAAAATAATCAAAAATACAAAATGGGTGACACCTGCTTGGAGGCAGCTCTATGGAGAAGGATGTGGATAGATCACAGACTTAATCGAGTCTGCAGTGTGATGCAGCCACACAAAAAATTAATACAGTTTTGGGATGCAACAATAAAAACATTAGGTACCTCTCTGTTTGGCACTGGCTACATCTCATCTAGTTTATTGTGTGCAGTTTTGGAGTCCACATTTTTTAAAGTATGTGGAGAAGTTAGAGAAGGTCCAGAGGTGGGTAACAAAGGTGATGAAAGGCTTGGAAAGCAAGCCATACAAGGAGAGGTTGAAGAAGCTAAGCATGTTTGGCTTGTAGGAAAGGTGCTTAAGAGGGGACATGATAGCAGTCTTCAAATCCTTAAAGGGCTGCTAGTGAGGCAATGGAATACACATGCATTGTCTAATGAAGTTGTGGGCTCTCCAGCACTGGAGAAGTTCAAGAAGAGGTTAGACAAGCACTTGTCAGGAATGATCTGGGCATAGCTATGCCCATGTTCTGCTATGGGTATTTCCCATACTTCTGGGTTTTGCTGGTTGCCACATGGGGTCAAAAGGGAATTTCACCCACCTCCTGCTGTATGTCGGGGGAGGCATTCAGCCTTCCTCAGAGGTATTGGTTGTTGGCTGCAGCCAAGGCTGGGGATTTTGCCTGGGGTGTGCTAGTGCTCCTGCTGGGATTTAAACCCAGAGGTTCCTAGCTAGAGGGTCTTGCCCCTTTTGCTCAGTGACCTATCGCCATATTTGGAGTCAGGAAGCAATTTTACCCCATGTTCAGATTGGTATGGACTGTAGGGGGTTTGCCTTCCTTTGTAGTAGGGAGCGCAGCCCCCTTCCTGGGATCTCGTGTGTATTTTAGCAACCTTTATACCTGCAGGATGTTGGCTGTTGCAGTCCCCATGCTTTACTTGTAGTAGGTTATAATGCTGTGCCTAGTGTTGTGCCAGCGTTGATTGTTGTCTTACTAAGAAGTTAGATTATGTATTTGTATAGGA